AGAAACATAGCCGTAACCAATGTAGCAGCATTAAACACTAATTTTGAGATTTTTGAGCGTTTTTCGAGTTATTCGAAGCTGATACGGGTGTTTGCAGTGTGCCTGCGTTTTGTTAACATGACAAGAAAAAAAGGGGTAGACTCTGCCAAGGATTCTCAACATGGTAGCAACAATGGAGAATTTCTTCCCCTTTCCGTTTCTGAACTAGAAACAGCAAAACTAGCGTTGGTAAAAATCGTGCAACGGGAATGGTTTCAGGATGATATTCATAATATTTCAAAATTCGGGGCTGTGAACAGGAGGAGTCCAATTCTTAAACTAAATCCATTTTTAGATGCGAACGGAATTCTGAGAGTAGGCGGTCGTTTAAGGCATGCAAATTTGTCGTATAATGCAAAACATCCAATTTTAATTCCAGCGCAACATAGACTCACTCGGTTGATTATAATTCATGAACATTGTCGTCTTTTTCACGCAGGAGCACAATTAACTTTAGCATCAATTCGACAAGAATTTTGGCCGTGTTCAGCTCGAAATCTCGTACGTCACGTCATAAACACTTGTGTAATATGTTTTCGCAATTCACCAAAATTGTCCACTACTTTAATGGGTGATTTGCCTGAAGCTCGCGTCAAAGGAGGCACACGACCATTCGAGGCATGTGGTATCGATTACGCTGGTTCTGTTTATTACAAAGAAGGTCAACGAAAGAATTCACGATCAATCAAATGTTTCATAGCGATTTTTGTTTGTTTTACGACGAAGGCTGTTCATTTGGAATTGTCGAGTGATCTCACTTCTGACGCTTTCTTAAATATACTTAAGCGATTTATCGCAAGAAGAGGACGTCCTAATCATATATATTCCGATAACGGTTTAAACTTTGTTGGTGCCGAGCGCGAACTCAGGGAATTGTTTAATCATAAAGAAGCTAAGCAACAAATTATTGACAACATGGCAAATGAACATATACAATGGCATTTTATTTCACCAAGGGCACCACACATGGGGGGTCTTTGGGAAGCCGCCGTGAAGGCCGTTAAATTTCATCTTATACGCATTGCTGGAGAGGCTTCTTTAAGACATGAAGAACTCAATACATTATTAGTACAAATAGAAGCAATCCTCAATTCGCGACCGTTGACACCGCTATCAGCAGATCCTAACGATTTTTCGGTTCTTACTGCCGGTCATTTTTTAATAGGATGTCCTCTCATTGCGTACCCAGAACCGACTATCACTGATCTAAATATCAATAGACTTGACCGGTGGCAACGCGTCGAACAATTGCGACAACAATTTTGGCTACGCTGGACGAAGGAATATTTACATGTCTGTCAGCAGCGCAGTAAATGGAATACCATTACAAATCCCATCCAAATAGGACAACTTGTTATTTTAAAGGAAGACAACTTGCCTCCTTTAAGTTGGAAATTAGGGCGAATAAAAGAGGTGTATCCAGGTCAAGATGGAATTATAAGAACCGCATTAATCCATACGGCAAGGAGTGATTATAAACGTCCAATTACCAAACTTTGTGTACTTCCCATAAATTAAGTAACATAGTTATACTCTCACCTACGATCATTTATTGTTTAGTTGCGTCGATTATTAATCACAATTACTAATTCATTGTACAACGGGCGTCATGATTAGTTTAAGTTGACGTCGTTTTTTTGTTCTGTTTGTAATCTAAGAGATTCCAAGGGGGGAGTATGTTTGCGCTAACGCATATTTTAATTCCGGCGCCATTTTCACACACGATCATTCATTTTTTGTTTGGTATCGCGGAGGGGGAAAAGGGAAGTTCAGTTCCCGAACAGACATCACATGGAAAGGACGACAGTTAATGTGGTCACAAATAAAGTAATTGGATCTAAATCAAGTAAACCTTGTGTTATTATTTCGATATAAAGAGTGTCCGCATACACAAGTGAGACGTCTCACAACAACGAGAAATTGCTCGTTGTTCAAGCAACATAAATTTTTAAATAAAATTGTTTATTTAACTTTTATATTTACCCTAATCCTACAGTATCCAATTAATATCTCAAGAGTTTGTCGCGTCGCATACATTTCTGTCACATTGTATACTTCGATTCTATATGATTATAACCGATAGTTATACGTATCAATAGATGGTAGATCGCGCTCTGAAAATTGTTGCGTGTTCTGCAAACCATCGAAAAAAAAGTGTTGCAACCTCAGTGTCCGCGACTGTATACCATCACAAATTATTGTTTCATACATATTTCATAGTTTTTTTTTACGTGACAAGCACTGGTTCACCAAAGCACGTAGTCGTTCGAGTAATCACCATATCTGTCGATTACTAGGACTAGATGAGACGAAAAAAATTTTTGTAAATCGAACAATAATATATCCAAAATCCAAATTAAAAAATTAGATCCGTAATTGTTAGTATCTAGACATTCTATGGACTAGTAATCGTCATAGGCATAGTTAATAAATAGGTATACAAATAAAGGATGTAAATCACTGGATCATTTCTATGTCGATAACTGGTACATCTAGAACAGAGATCGACACTACTCGAATGAAAATTAATTTTACAATTCTTTTCTGTTGAAATAGCTATTAATATTTATTGAAAATTTGTAATAATGATAGTTCTGAAAAAAAAATATATAAAAAATTATAAAAATATATATATTATATTAGAATGCTAATAGTAACTATTGAACGGCAATAGTTATAAGCATTCGGCACTACTGCATTGAGTACTGTAACATTAGTAATGAATAGTTCTCACTACACAATTATAAACTATGATTGACCAGTATAAACTTTTAGGATGTAATAGTAAGAACTACTATATATAGTAAAAATTATTGAAATAACTACTAATGTGTGGACATTTAATAGTTTACACTACTCTCATACTAATCATTGAATAATTCAAACTAATAGTGTGCAAAAATGTAAGAAATTAAACTAATAGTGCACATTCTGTACAGTATATACAATTGAATATTTCTTACAGCATTCAATAATGTATATTATTGAAGCGAAATTTCAGTGAAATTCAACGAAATTTTTTTCCGGCATTATTAAACTATATTAGCGAATTTACTATTGTGTGTGTGTACTAGTGTGTGTATTCATAATAAAACTAGTGACACTAGTTTTTTTCCTCAAGAAAGTTAGCTATAGACCTTAATATGATCTGGATAAAATTTCATCAAAATCGATTAATATCTTCAGGTTGTCCCTCGACTTTGAAATTAGTAAGTTTACGCATTTCTTGAATACATGTGTCAAAACTCGAAAAAATATTTGAATTTCATTACAATTTCAATTTAAATCAGACCTGATAAAGCCTAGTCAAACCAGAGTAAAACTGTACATAAAATAATATATTTCAGATTTAAATAAACCCAACATTGGCAACAGGAAAATTTGATAACAAAGTACAATTACATTTATTAATATTTATTTATTAACATTTGTTTGTATGTACATTTGAAATACATGCATAATAACAAATAATATAAAATAAAATACATAATAACACAAACACAATAATTTAATTCTTGCATTATGTACAACATAATGCTGCATTATGTAGTATATAATGCAAGAATTAAATCATTGTATTTGTTATTATGTATTTTATTTTATATTATTTGTTATTATGTATTTATTTTAAATGTACATACAAACAAATGTTAATAAATAAACATTAATACACTACGCACAGAAATTAAAGCATCACCTCTCACACCTTCGAAAAATGGATAAACTTCAAAGGAGTGTAACTTCTACGAAAATGGTCAAAATGAGATTTTAAAAAAGCATTTTGTAGCTTGACATCTCTACTTTCCAAAGCTGTATAATGAAATAATGATTCGGCTGATTTTTACGGAACATACATGATTATAAAGGAAGATCCGTAAAATCTCAAAATTTTTGCACAGTTTCATGCCGTGAATGAGAAATCGGGCACAAATACAATTCACAGCTTTCGAAAGCGTGATACTTTACCTTTAATTTACTATTTTTTTACTTCTATACGATTTCTTTTTACCGAGTTATTCAACATTGAAGTAAAAATGATCCCTTTGATTTTGACTGCTCATAAAACGAACGGAGTGACGTACAGCACTTAAAAAAAAAACAAAAAAAGTTCAAAGTTTTCTCTTTAAGATGCTTTTATCAATTTTTAAACACAGATAAACTTTTTATGTAAAAGCTTAAGTGAAAAGTAGAGTTGAAAACTGGGATAATTATATGTTTCTATTCAACTCGATTTATTCTGATCAAAAAGAGAGAGAAGCTCTATAATATTAACGTAATTTTATACTTTAGGGTCTACTGATTTCAACGAGACTCATATAAAACAGTTACGATATTTTTAAACTAATGTCCTTCATGTTACGATTTTGGGCAAGACGATATTTGCTGATTTGAATTTAATCTTGTATCGCAGTATGCGATCACACCGCTGGCATTAGCGTTATCCGAAGCGTACCACGTGAAGGTTGCACAGTCGGCTACGCTTCTTGTGTTTGTGTGCGTGTGTGCACGCGCGTGTGTTTGTAAATGAAAAAATTAAATTCTTATGAGATATTGCTGCTTCTATTATAAATTACGTCTCTTAAACATTGTTGCATATTTATGCACCGCCGGATCGCTGCTTGCGAAAATTGATGCCAAACTTGACGGAGTGCTTCTATTAATTGTTCTAATGTTTGTATTCATAGATAATATCGTCGCAATCGACGCTCAAGCATATCCCAGACATGCTCAATCGGGTTGAGGTCCGGGCTCATCGGCGGGTGGTTCAAAACGTTAACACGATTTTCTCTAAGAAATGTTTGTATAATAAATGTAGTATGGCAACGGGCATTATCATGCATAAGTATGAATCTGTGCCCCATCCGATCACGCATTGGAAGATCATATGGAAAGACGCATCAAAGAAATACGCAATATTTCGTTGATATATCGTATAGACGTTAATCCAGGAGGTGGTATAACAAGAGGAGTGCGCGTAAATCGAAATATACCTGCTCATACCGTAACGGAACCACTAAAGAAACTTCTAATTGGCATACGGCAATTCTCTTCGTTTCGCTCTCCACGATGACATCATACTTGTATTCGTCTATCATTCTAGTACAAAGAAAATCGTGACTCATCCGTGAACAATACATTGTTCCAATTTTTTTGGTACCAATTAACATGTAAACGTGCGTATATTAAACATACATGTCTGTGACGACGACTTAACATAGATACACGCACCGGCTGACGCGACGTGAGCGAAAATTAGTTTCTCTTAAACGATTTCTAACTGTTGTTGCAGATATAGGATGTCGAGGATACTGTCTTCGATTAACAAATCATCTAGCAATATCTGCTGCAGTGGTCGTACGGTCTTGAAGAACGTATCTACACTGAGAAAGATATAGTCAATTTTAATAAATATTTAGTTCAATACTGCCAACTAAATATTTACTTACAGTAAATAAATATTTGTTTAGTAAAAAAATAATTGTTAAATGAAATTAACATTTCTTATATCAAATAAATATATCTTTATATCTAATAAATATTTAGTTGGCATGTATTCAACTAAATGTTTATTAAAATTGACTATATTTTTTTTAGTGTAACGATATTTCTATCGTCTCTTTCAGTAGTCGCACGACGGCATCCCTGATCTTGGCGCCTATGAAATTCACCAGTATCTTGAAATCGAGAATAAATTCGACTAACAACAAATTAATTAACTCCTAATAATATGCGACATATCATTGACTGTGATCTTCTTACAGTGCCAGTGTGACGATGCGTATCGCATCATATTCAGTAAGATATTTTCGCGGCATTATACACAAGAATTCACGAAGATTATCCTAGAAATAATGTGATTAAAATAACAAAGAGATGGGCAAAGATTTAACAAATCTAACAGGTATTCAAAATGTTTTTACGTACGTTAAATGCATAAAATGTTCGTAATGTAAAGTAGTGTTTCAATAAGTACCTACGTATGAAACAATTGTAGTCCCAATTTGCTTCTCTTCGGCAGACAAATCAAAAGTGTTTACTGCTTAGAGCGCGGAATACATTAGAAGTACTCCGTAGCGCGTAGTGAATATTGGAAAAGACCGCCTGGCAAGCGTGCCAACTTACTTACTCACTCTGCGATGTGATCGCATGCTGCGATATAATTCAAATCAGCAAATGTCGTCTTGCCCAAAATCGTAACTTTGAACATGAAGAACATTAGTAAAATTACGTTAATATCATAGAATTTCTCTCCCTCTTTGATCAGAATAGATCGAGTTGAATAGAAATAGATAATTGTCTCAGTTTTCAATTTTACTTTTCACTTAAGTTTTTATATAAAAAGCTTATCTGTGTCTCAAAATTGATAAAAGCATCTTAAAGAGAAAACTTTGAACTTTTTTTTGTTTTTTTTTTAAATGTTATACGTCACTCCGTTCGTCTTTTATGAGCAGTCAAAGTCAAAGGGACAATTTTTACTTCAATGTGGAATAACTCGGTAAAAAGAAATCGTACAGAGGTAAAAAAAAAGTAAATTAAAGATAAAGGATCACGTTTCGAAAGCTGAATTGTATTTGTGCCAGACTTTTCATTCACGGCATGAAATTGTGCAAAGTTTACATTGAGATTTTATGGATATTCTTTTATAATCATGTAGTTCCGAAGTAAAAATTAGCCGAATTATTATTTCATTATACAGATTTGGAAAGTAGAGATTTTAAGCTACAAAATGTTTTTTTTAAATAAATAATATTCGTAAAGGACTCTTAATAATAATAAAAACTAAATATGAAAACAAGGCATGTAAGAGTCAATACCAACGCACAATATTAAAAAATAATCAGAATTCTATTACATTACATACATTCCATTGCAAAATATTACATGTTTCGGTCTTTATATTAGACCCTCTTCAGATATATGTTAAATATAAAATTGTTACACTACTTCGAAAACGCTGAATAAAATACAATTGTAAACCACGTCAACGAATGAACATAAACCAAAGGTATCGAAATTGCTTGACAAAAGGTTGGATGGCCGATTGAACAGAATTTCTTGATGTTCTAACAAAATTCTACAATTAATTAATTCAATAATCACTCAAGCAAACACGATAGAACACTCACCATTATACGTCAACAATTTATAAATTCGAAGATGAAATATTCATAAGCTTCTTGTCAGTCAGTGTCATAGTAAATAATAATTAATATTAGTCATAATGTAAAATCACAGAGTCCAATTCCATTAAATTATATTTTTCAATAATAGACAATCAAAGTATAAAAATTGTAGAGAGTCCAGAGATAAAATTACATATGTATAACTGTTTCAACTGACAAACACTGACTAACAGAAAATTACTTAAATTAGTATGATCTTGGCTATACAAAGTTAAATTTGTTTACAATAGGAATGTATGCCTTATGTAAGCCCTCAGTGTCGGTTTGAAGATTGATGCTATTCTTTTGTTCTTTTATATGAAGCATCTCAGAAATTAATCGCTTATGGTAACAAGGTTTCTCGTCAAGAACTTCTATTTCATCCCAATTGAAATCATGATTACTCTCTAATCTGTGTTCTGTTATAACTGAACGAGACGAAGTGTTCCAACGTATATGATTTCGGTGTTCAGCAATACGTGTTCTTAACTGTCTACTCGTCTGCCCTACATATGATGCATCACAATCATTACAATTAATCTTATACACAACATTATTTTTAGACAGACGAAGACGAGGATCCTTGTGTACTTTGATATATTTCTGTAATTTATTCATACTGTAAAACGAGACTTTGATATCTTTCCTGTTAAATTGATTAAATTTTTCTGTTACTAACGGAATGACTGGCACTGTAAACCATGAAACATCGGTTACTTGGTCACCACTATTATGATCTTGATCATTACGCGCTGCATCTCTAACTCTGATGTTCTTTAGTCTTTTATTAATTACATCAAATATAAGTTTAAGCGGATAATCATTATCTCGTAAAATATTAATTATAAGAGTCAAATTTTTATTATGAAATTCCGAATCAGACAATAAGATAGCCCTGTCAACCAAACTGATGATAACCCCCTTTTTTTGAGATAACGAGTGGTTGGAATAAAAATTTAAAAACCTCCCCGAGTAACTAGGTTTATGATACCAATCGAAAGAAAAAAATTATTTTTAACCGTCATTTTTTAATGTCAAGAAAATTTAAAGAATCTTCAGGGTGAGTTTTAAACGTGGGTGGAACGATCCAAAACAATCCAAAAAATTGTCAACTTCAGATGAAAGAACCGTAGCGCATAGGTCATCCACATATCGGTAATAAAAAAGAGTGTTATTCTTAAACATATTTAGTGCCATCTTCTCTAATCTTTGCATCACCAAATCAGCAACTATCGGTGACAAAGGAGAGCCCATGGGCGTGCCAAAATTTTGTTTGTATATGATGTTATCAAATATAAAATATGTAGAATCTAAAATCAAACGAATCGCCAACAAAAACTCTCCTTTTGGTAATGTACATTTTTTTGATACAAATTCCCATTTATCGTTAATACAATCTAAAGCTATATCTATCGGAATATTTGTGAACAGAGAAATTACATCCAAAGAAATCAATTTATAATTCTTCTCTATCCGTGTTCTTCTAAGAGCTTCCACGAGTTGGAAACTGTTCACAATGTAGCTATCTGCTTTGGGAACTGTTTCAAACAATATACTATGCAAATAGGAAACCAAAGAATAAAGCGGGCTGCCTATGGATGACACAATGATTCTAAACTGAAAGTTTGGCTTATGGACTTTTGGCAGTGCATAAGCTCTCGCGAGTGACCCATCATTGCAAGATAACATTCTATATTGAGAATCAGTTATGTATTTACATCTTTTCCATCTCGATAGCAGACCCTTGAGAGACACAGTAATTTTCCTAGTTGGATCTTTTTTGATGATTTCATATATATTATTATCCTGAAGCATATCATTAACTTTCTTCATATATAAATCTCTGTCCAGAGCTACCGTGACATTGCCATTATCAGCACGTGTAAAAATTATGTTAGGATGAGATTTCATGAAATCTTTTGTTATTTTTTCCAACTTTAATAATAAGAAAATCCACTAGCGAGATAAAAAAGATGCTTTCTATAAAAGTCATTACTTCTATGTGTATCAGTAAGTTCAATTTCTATGATTTTACGAACAAAAAACTTCCTATAGTTTAAAGTCTATTGGTCAAAGCATGATGATGAATACTTATTTTAAACAACATTTTAAACAACATTTTAAACAACATTATTTTCAACGCGGTACCTTATGATGAATTGAGTTTACATATTGAGAGAATATATATCACAGCGGAAGAATTCAGAGATGCAGTTCCTCTAAACATTCTAAATGATAAGTGGTTCATCAATTTGAGTGACAGCCATATTCCTGATGAGGTGAAATGCTTATT